TTACAACAAAAAATTTTTTTTCTACAAAATTATATTTAAACTAAAAAGTTTTCATTTACCCATCTGTTATCAATACAACAATTATTTGAGTGAAGTCTACCATGAATTATTCCATTTCTATGCAATTCTTGCATACCAGCTGCAATGTCTGCAGCAAAAGACATCTTGAACATCTTATCAATGTTAATTTCCTCTTTTTGTAAGACATCTTGAAGGCTTCCTTTAGAACAATACTGGTTTAGAATGCATATATTTGGGATTTGAATGCACACCCCAACTACTTGGCAAAGATTTGTATGATGGAGTTCTCGAACCTGAAAAGTAACTTTTAAGGTAGAAATTACATAAAAGAAGAACAGCGTGAATAAAGAAAAAACCTAATACCTCTTTAAACTCTAAAAGAATATCTCTTGACATATTAGCTGTGTTTTTCTTCAGTTTTTTCAATCTGACATGATCTCCCTGAAAAATAAAATTGAGTTTTAAAACTATGTGGATCACTAAAAAAACTAAAAATTTACAATAACTTATACAAGTTATACAAGTCTCTAACTTTATTTACTTTAATTTAATCTAAATTAATTTTACAATAATTACATTATAATTAATAAACTATAGCAATTTTACGAAGGTTTAATACACTAATAAACAATTTATTTTTATTTAATAACAATAAATTGTAATCTAACATTAAAATTTTTTTACTATTTATTAATTAAAATTCTATTTGTTATTAATGAAACATCAATTGGGTATAGCTATAAATTTTCCAGTGTGTTTAGCTTACATTAAATCGAACAACTAATTTGTTTCTGTCTGTCATACTTTCTGAATCGCTAACCATTGAATATGATTCTGCATTCTAAAAAATAGATATAAAAAACTTTAAATAATGTCAATTAAAATTAGAGTTAAGCAACCAATTTAAAAAAATTATCTCAAAGCAAAAACCATCTGAGAAAAACTGAAAAGTCTATAATATTAGAGTTTGTTGAGTAACAAATGAACGAATGTTTCTGAAATTATAAATTAAACTTGAAAATGTTAAATAAATCTTTTATAAAACTTTATTTTATAGGAAAGTCCTTTTAGCTTTCACGCTGAAGACGAATCTAAGATTAATATAAAAACTCAACTGTTAACAAAGCAGTAGTAATGGCTGCTTTTGATGTAAGTGAGCCATTGATTTTTCCATTTTGATTTACAGTTCCACTCATAATTTGATCATAGGAAACAAAGAAACCTTCTCCAAGAAGATCTTTTTCAAACTTCTTTCGCCTATCAATTAATAGAAAAATATTTAGTAATGAATGTATGTGTATATATATATATATATATATATATATATATATATATATATATATATATATATATATATATATATATATATATTTCTGTGGCTCGTAAACATTATTTGAAAAATGCACTAGTCAATTCTAGGTTGTTTAGGTTGAAAATTTGATTACTTAAAAAATTTTTATTACAAAGTGTTCAGGACTATTATACAGACAATATTATGAAAAAAAACAAATTATTTGGTGTACAACCTGATGAGAAAATCAATTTTTAAAGGGGATCAGGGCAACTTTTCCCCCACCCCTTGCTCCCTTTTATTTATTAAAGAAAAATTTATGCCTTCTTTAGAAAAATCAGGCATCAGATACATATTCAAAAATTCAATTAAAAATATCTTGGAGTTCAAAAGATATAACCATTTTAAGTAAAACTAGTCAAAGTGTTACTAAATTTATTATGAATGTATGTATATGCTTTAGTTAAAAATCTAACATATTTATTATTTATTTGCATTAAAACATGCCAAACAAACCAAGGGATCATTTTTCTTCAAGAAAACTTATTTGTATTTGCTGTGGTGATAAGAACTTAAAATGCACTGAACTTGTAACTGGAAATCCTTTACTAATCTTGATTCAACTGAATGCCAACACTAACTATAATCTGATGCTTCTTTCCAACCCTATTGGGTTATGTCCAAGCTGCAAGACTTATTTGTACTCAGCTAAAAAAGGAGAAACTTTATCACGAGTTACTTTAGAGAGGTGGTTGCTTACATCGGAGAGAATAAAGTTACTTCCAAGATTTAAAGGTAATACTTTTATACTTAATTATGCATATAATAAAAGCTATAGATAATATGAATAAACATTTGTTTATATATATAAATATAGGTGAGACAGTGTTAACATGTGATTGCCCGCTCTGTATCATGTCAAGAGATAAATCCAAATCTATAAACCCTCAGGTAATTTATAAAAAACTCATATATGTAGCTCAATTATTTACGTTTAAAACATTTATAAAATTATAACTTTTAAATAAGTATTGTTTTTTTATTTATTTAGGATGTATTAAACATGTACATTAATGACCCTGAAGCACCAAAGGAGGTTATAGATAAAATTTGTTGTACTTGTTATCAGAGAATCGGATCTGGAATTCAACATCCCTGTAATAAGAGAGACATTGTACAGAACCTAAAAACACTGTTAATGTCAACAGGTAAGAGCTTAATTATAGTTTTTTTAAACCTAAATTTTTACGTAATCCTAAAACATATTTACAAATTTTTAGGTTTAAAAACAGTTTAGCAAGTAATTAGCAAATCTCTGAAAGTAATTCAACAATTTAAAAATATTGATTTAGACAACACTGTTACATTGTCGAATGGAGGAACTCCTTTAAGCCTGCAGATTGGGAAAATCTCTACCCAGACTTTCTATAATATCAAAAGAAAGCATGATATGTCAGACTGTTCTATTGATTCAATAGCAATGGAATTAAGAAAAGATTTGGGTAGATTAGGTGTGGAATCTAACTCTTAAAATTAAGATAATAAATAAAATTAAGATAATGTCACATGCTTTAGATAACTATGACTCAGTGGAAAAAGTGGAATTTTTACTCAAAAATAAAGTTAAAGAAAATAAAACTATTGAAACTGTCATTAAAGATCTAGTGTATGTCAAAGATCCAGTATCTCTAGTTAATCGTGTTTGCATTGCTAGGGGACTAGAAATCGATAATATTATTATTCGTGAAGGAATAGATAGTGGCCAAGGATCTTTAAAAGTTATTATGAATGTTTTTAACAGAGAAGTAAATTATGACTCCAAAGAAACCAAGAATACTGGAGTGAACAAAGTTATAATATTGGCTTTTGCCAAAAATGTTTTCGAAAGCCACACAAATCTTCAAATTCTTATAGAAAAAACAAAGCTAAACAATTTAAAGTTTTACCTTGCTGCAGATCTTAAATTATGCAACATTTTGCAATGGTAATAAAACTAATCTTGGAGAACCAAGAACCTTTAATATGCTTAAGAACATGTATAAAAACTTTGCTGAAAGTGGATTTAAAAAAAAGCTCTATGCAACTCTTTAAGAATGTTATACATCCTGGTTGAGTCTAGAGAATTGTCTTGAGATCTCCTGGTTGAGTCTGGAGAAATGTATGTGCTTGATGTCATCCCTCCTCCAGAACTTCATTTAATGATGAAGATTATAACAGAAATTTCAAATGTCTTCTGTAAGGAACCTGATGTTGCTCTCTGGTTAAAAAAACATGGAACTATTTGGCATGGGTATAATGGAGGTGGACTGGATGGTAGAAATGCTAACAAAATACGGAAGCATTTGCCAGATTTGGAAAAATTTATCTAAGATAACTTTTCTTCTTACCATCCAGTTGTTGAACTGTTCAAGTCTTTTTCTATAGGTAAATTTTAAATTTACTTAATTTTACAAATTATTTATATATTAAAAGTTAATTATGATTTAAAAAGAAATATTTATTGAATCAAAAGCAATTTTTCACAAATAACACTAAAATTTACATTTAGTAGTAAACATGTGTTTTGGAATGAAACTCTGTGACGGTTATGCTGATGCCATTGCAACATATATAAGGAAATTAAAAGTAATAGTTAAACAACTCATACATTTAAAAATAAAATTTTAATTTTTGTTTATATTAAGTGCCATCTTTTAAATTATAAATTTATGAAAACCAAGAGTATATGAAGACTACATTCAACCACAATCTTTCTATGGGATGGAAAGGTCATATTATTGAACACCATCTTGTCATGTTTTTAAATAGAACTAAGCTGCCAAGAGAGCTGAGAGTATTTTCTGAGCAATGAACTGAATCTGTTCATCATAATACGTTGAAAACACTGAGCAGATTCTCAACTTCAGAATTCAGAGAGAACCACGAAGAGCTTTTTAGAAAGGCAATAGTTGAATATTCAAGTCATAGAATTTAGGTTCTTTCTTTGCTATTGATTACATAATTATACATATCTTGTATATTATATTATATAGTTTTGAAGATTACATTATATCAGTATATACTATGAATTATATTATACTGTTTCAGAGTATATATATATATATATATATATATATATATATATATATATATATATAATATATATATATATATATATAGCAGATGATTTTATATTTTACCATAAAATAAAAAATAATTTTATTATGTTATACAATGTTATACAATAATATTGCAGATTAGGTTTTATTATACCATGAGTATTACACTATATTTTAATGTAAAGTAAATATAATTTTTTGTAGTTTTACTTGAAATATTCATATCTTTTGAACACCATGATATTTTTTATTGAATTTCTGAATATGTATCTGAAGATTGATTTTTCTAAAGATGGTATAATTTTTTTTAATAAATAAAGGGGGGCAAGGGAAGGGGAAAAAAGTTGTCTTAATCCCCTTTAAAAATTGATTTTCTCATCAGGACATACACCAAATAATTTGTTCTTTTCATAATATTGTCTGTATAATAGTCCTGAACACTTTGTAATAAAAATTTTTTAAGTAATCAAATTTTTAACCTAAACGACCTAGAATTGACTAGTGAATGTCTAATCTCTTAAATGTCTTCTGTATAATAAAACTGGATTTAAAATTTTTTGAATAAAAAATCTTTTTAGGGGTTGCTCAAGACCTTTAAACATCAGACATGTTCCTAGTATTATTAAAAAAAAAGTCTTTAAAAGTATATCATCTTAGGTCTTAAAATAAGCAAAATTATATAAATATTTAAAAACTAAATTTATCATTTTATAAAGACATTGAGACAAAATAATTATAATCAGAAAATTTTACAAAAATGTATATCTTTTAAAAATGTCATTTTCTTGGTAATAAAAAAATAATTTAAAAAAAAAAAAAAATGACTGTTTTTGAAATTAAAAAGTTTTTATATAATTATCTTCTTTTGAAAACCAATATGATATACATTTTAAGAACTTTATAATATTAAGAACCTGTCTGATGTTTATAGTATTAAGGACTGATGTTTATAGTATTGATGTTTAAGAATCTTGAGCAGCCACTAAAATTATCTTTATTTTATTACTTAATTTTTTCAGCCTTTGTCACAGTAGCTTTAAAAAGCTTTTAAAAGAGCGCTAAAAAAGTGTTTATGAAAATAACATTTTCTTTTATATTGCATGCTAAAAAATATTTTACTACTTTACCAAACAATTTACAAAGCGGTTAAAAATGTAAAAAATTTGATAGCATATTAGGCAAATCAATATTATAAAAAAGATAAAATCACTGAATTAAAAGTATGAAAAACAGAAAAATACTTTTGCCAATGCAAATGCAAAATCTTTACATTTTTTCAAATTGGAATTGATTCATGATTGACGATAAGTTTTATTATCCAAATATCATTTTTTTGTTGACATTTTTCTAACAAGTTCACTACTTACATTTTGACTAGAACAATTTATATAAAACAAATATCAATATAGATTTAGCTGTGCACAAAATGTGCTATTTACAGAATTTTCCGTACATACATCAAACTGTAACAACTACAATCTATGAAAAAAAAAAAAACACTTGTAACAGCAAAAAAAGATTGGTTTCATTATTTTACTCCTTTAATTCTTTTTTTTTTCTCTGAAAAAACTGAAAGTTAGTATTTTAAAAATTAAAGTGTAAAAAACACATTAGGACAGTACTTACTCAATCTGCAAAAGTAAGTATACTAGGGTGGTAGTTAAAAAAGCATTAAAAAAATCTCTTCTCACACTCTCTACATGAGTTCAATATATAATATATATATATATATATATATATATATATATATATATATATATATATATATATATATATATATATATATATATATATATATAACTCACGTGTATAAATATATAAATTAGGGTGGGTCAAAAAATTTTTTTCTTGTTACAGGCTCTAAACATTGCTAATAGTTATTAATATTGATACTATTAAAAATGAGAATGATTGTGATAGATTTAAAGGGTACCGGTAAATTTCCCAACTTTATTGGGAAAATTACTGGTACCCTAATATTTTGGAGAAAAAAAGTTTTTCAAAAGTAGGTCATCCTGGTACTCAAAAATAGCGAAATTTTATAAAAAATTCAAAAATAATAATTGTTTTATAAAAATCATATTACCGAAAAAAATTGTTATTAAAAAACATGTAAAAATGCACCTTTTTCACTTTTAGTTAAAAAACTATAGTTATTAGGCAATAAAATCTAAAATAATAATTTTTATATGAAAACTTATTATTTTTGAAATTTTTATAACATTTCGCTTTATTTGAGTACCTATATCACATAATTTTGAAAAACTTTTTTTTTGAATAATAATAGGGCCTGCTAATTTTTGTAATTATAGTTGCAGGTGGAAGACATTGTTCAATCCATAAAAGCAAATACTTTCCTAAATTAGTACATAAAAAAACAACTTTTTAACAATGTTTAGAGCCTGTAACAAGAAAAAAAAAATTTTATGACCCCACCCTAATATATATATATATATATATATATATATATATATATATATATATATATATATATATATATATATATATATATATATATATATATATATATATATTATGGTAAGAGCGCTCACTTGGTAAGCGAGCGATTCGGAGTTTGATTCCCACCATGTCCCTGGAAGTACCGCGCTCAACTTAATTTCTGCGCGCAGCAGTCTTGCTTGTCAAGGTTCATGTTTCGGAGTTAAAGAGTTGAGAGAGGGTTGTACCACGAATTACAACAAAAAAATAAATAAATAAATAAAAAAAAAAAAAAAAAAATGAGTAGCTTCCTCGGGCTTTGGTGAATAATTAAAATATATATATATATTTTTTATTTTAATTCACCTCCTCAAGGCCGAGAAGGCCACTACAGACGAGGAGGCTACTTATTTGCGGTTATAACCCTCTCTCAACTCTATAACTCCGAAACACGAACCTTGATGAACAAGGCCGCTGCGCGGAGAAACGAGTTGAGCGCGGTACTACCAGGGACGTGGTGGGGATCGAACTCGGACCACTTGTTTATGAAGCGAGCGCTCTACCACTACACCACTACTGCATTAATATATATATATATATATATATATATATATATATATATATATATATATATATATATATATATATATATATATATTAATAATTATATATAAATCAATTATTTTAGATTTTATTTTAAAAAATTTAATTTATTTTATAAAAACTATCGTCTACATAAAATAAAAAATAAACTTTTTCACAGTTTTTCAAAATAATTTTTTATCTAAGATATTTTTATAAAATGGAATTATGTTTGAAATTTTTATATAATTTTCCTTCATTTATCACTCAGATGGAATAAAAATTTTGAACAATTTATTTTTGATAATAGATTACTCATTTATATAATATATTATGAAAATAAAAATATTAGAAAACTGATATAATTGTTTTTTGTTAAAACGACAAAAAATAATTACAAAAAAATACATAACCTAACCTATAGTAAAAAAATCCAGCAGTGGCACCAAAAATAAATACCATCACAAACACTATTGCAATGGTCTGTATCAAAGTACTTTGGCTTGATTTATCTTTTTCTAAATTAAATAGATATAAAAAAATTATTCAAAATTGTTCATAGTTAAGTTAAAAAATATGGGGATAAGATGTATTAAAGGTTTAAGAATTACTTATTAAAAAAAAAAAGTTTAAAGGTACTTTAAAAAAAATCTTTGGTCACAAATAAACTTTTAAATTAGTTCATAACTTAGTTCAATAATTCATGTTACAAAATCAATCAATCAAACAGGGTCACAGCAATCTGAATCAGGAAAAGAAAACAGATAGAACTAAATTTATGGGTTATGATAAGAAAGATAAAGAAATAAAAAATTTTTTTTGCCTTAACATGTTTTCTTCATGTAAATACAGCCCAAAACTCAGAGTTCAAACTTTTACTGTTGCCTACCTATCACTAAGTAAGAATTTTGAAACTTTTGATGTGTTTGATTGATTGATTGCTATGCAGTCTTCAGACTATAAAAAAGTGACAATTTTGTATAAGCAGATCTTGCACATTGTTTGGATGCTATCTAATTTTCTATGCAAATCCCCTCAATCCAATAGTATGGTAAGGATTTGTAAATTAGAATAAAACAGAAGTTAACACTATTTTCAAATAGTGCTAGGCATCAAATAAGCATTGCTACAAACGACATACTACTTTTGTATTGTATTACCGAGTTTTGAGTGAATAAAAAATTTTTAAAATACTTAAAATATAAATCATTGTATTTTAAAACTTCTAAAGTTTTTGTTTTTTTTACTTCATTTTTTTGTTTTTTGATATCAGATAAAACAAATTATTTTACTAAATTATTGTTAAAAATTACTTTAGCTCTTTTATAATTGTTTTAAATTATTAAAAAAATTTTAAATATTATTATATATAATAAAAATTGTTTTATTTAAATGAAAAATTTTGTTTTATGGAAACATGTTTTCACATGTGTGAAACATAACATGACCATTAAACAATAAAAAGTCTTTTAACAATTAAAAACCTTTTAATTTTTTATTTTTAAATTTATTTTTTTTTTTTTTTTTTTTTTATTTTCAATTCCTTTCTTAACTTATTTTTTTAAAAATAAGAATTACAAATAACTAGTTAAATAAAATTTTTAAACCTATCATGTTAGAGAACGTACAAACAAACATGTAAAACTTTTTTCAATAAGTCAATTAGTTTACCAATGAATAAGAACAAATACACAAGTTGCTACATAACAAATGTTTTTTTGTTAAATGACTAATAGGCATAGATTTCTATTTTAAAGCTGAACAATTTAAAACAAAAAAATTTCATCGCTAAATAGCACATTCTATAAAAAAAAAAAAATATGCCAACTCTACATCCAACTCTATTTCAGATAGTGCAACTATGTGACACAAATTAATCATTCAAAATAGTAGTATTATAACAAGCAAACATGCTTTTAAAAAATATATTAAAAAAAAAACCTTGACAAAGTTCTCTATGAAATCCACACTCAGGTTGATCCAAAGGAGGATTTATTCTTCCTCCAGGCCAGAAAATCTTTTTACCAAAACTTTTTTTTTCTTCACTTCTAGGTTCATATTTGTAAATGACTTCACTTACTCCATCCTTAAAACTCCTAACAACAAATGCTGGCACACGATCTCCTTTATTATCGATTACAACTTGGCCAGACTTTCCTAAATAAAAATATTTTTTTTACTTGTTTTTTAATTAATCATTTATCAAATTCAAATTTGTTTAAGTGGCAAACTTTTTTTTTTTAATTTTAAAAATAAATAATTCTTGTTATTTAGAACCTAATGATTTTATACTGTACCATACCAAAATATAAAGATTTTTTTGCTATAAAAAAAATTTATAACAAAATTAAAAGTTCAACATTTTAACTATTATTATAACAACAAGAAAAAAAAGTTAATGTTTTCAGTTGACTCAATATTTTAAATAGGTAATATCTTGAACTTTTGTCTTGAACATTTTTTCCTGCTCACTTGGACATTACACAGTCATTTGGGGTAACATCTCAAACCTCAATATCTTAAATTAAAAAAAAAAGTTTTATTGTGCACTAGATGAGAAAGGCTTGACTCATCAAAGGTTTTTGATAAAGTCTGGCATGCTAGGCTTTTTTTATAAGCTTGCTTTATATGGTTTAATTAGGAAAGTTTTGAAAATTATTTATTCATTAATTTTAAACTACAGTATTAAATTCATCTTTAGATATCAACATTCTTCTTCAATTTCTGTAAATTTTAGGGTAACCACAAGGTTCCATCTTTAGTCTGGCATTATTTTTAAAGTATTATCTCTCTTCTGTGGGCTTACAGTTGCTTATGAATTTTAACCCAAACAAAATTCAGTTTACTTACTGCTACATTTACTTTACAATATTGTTGAAATTCCTATATTGATGAATTACCCTTTTTAAGTCATCCTCTATAGGTCTTGTTGGATTTTCATTTACTACTGACCTCTCATGGAAACCTTATATATTATCAAAAGTTGCCTCTCTTTGTTGTGCTTTCTACTTTCTCATAGTAAGTGACCGGGGCTGGGTTTGATAAAATATAGCTGGTGCCATGGCTGGGTTTGTGACCAGGGCTGCATAAACATTTATACATCCTAAAGTATATCCTTTTTTTCAAAGTTCATGCCATATTTTGTAAATATATGCATATATAAACATCATTATGATCAACATGACCATCATTACCATCATCATCATGATCATGATCATCATTATTGTCATCATTATCTTCATCATCATCACCATCATCATCATCATCACCATTTTCATCATCATCTTCATCATGATCATCATCATCATTATTGTCATCATTATCTTCATCATCATCATCATCATCATCATCATCATCATCATCATCATGATGATCATGATCATGATTATTGTCATCATCATTGTTATCATCATCATCATTATTGTCATCATTATCTTCATCATCATCATCATCATCATCATCATCATCATCATCATCATCATCATCATCATCATCATGATTATTGTCATCATCATTGTTATCATCATCTTCATCATCATCATCATCATCATCATCATCATCATTATTGTCATCATCATCATCGTCATCATCATTATTGTCATCATCATCATCTTCATCATCATCATCATCATCATCATCATCATCATCATCATCATTGTCATCATCATTGTCATTATCATCATCATCATCATCATCATCATCATCATCATTATCATCATCAGGCTTTAGCCTTTCTCTTTTATGCTGTTACTCTAATCATGGTCAATGCTACAACAAGCTATTGCCTCTATTACAATAAACCAAAATTCATTCTTGCTTGGCTTCTTATTTGACAACTGCATCCTTTTACTGTATCTGTCCTTTAACACTTTAAAAACTTTTATTAACCCAACTTTTTTCTTTGTACATCAAAAAAACCTTTTAACTCTTACCCATCTTCATGTTTTACTTTTTTATACAACCTACAACTTTTTAAGTCTTCAGTTAATCTCGTTCCTTTTTAACCTATCCTCTATTTTAAAGCAACTCATGACTTAATAATGGTTGATTCCAACCTTGTTGGAAGTAAATTAGAGTTTATATATATAAATATATGCCAGTATTTAATAAATAGTAAATGAGTATAAAATTGTAATATATAAAGAATTGATTTTTTCTAGCCCCGGCTATTAATCCTTGCTAATTATCTTACAATTTTGCCCGGGCCAGGGTCGAGTTTGCAAAAAGTCTCATTTCTAGCCGGGGCCGGGGCCCCGGTTACTTATTTTCTCACTGCCAACTCCATACTCTACTTCTACAATTTACTTAGTCCTGTCTGTATATAAGACATGCAAAAGCGTGCCTTTTATGACCATGGATATAATATTTTGTTTTGACAACTTGACCAAGATTCTTTGCAAGTTTGGAAAATAAACAAATGTAAACTTAAACTAAAATTAAAAATAAAGAAACTATAAACTGAAAATAGAAATAAAAAACTTTGATATTTTCTAATTTCTACTAAGCAAATAAAATATTTAAAAAAATTATTTGATTTAAACCTTTATCATCAAATGCTGAAATAACAGTCATGCCTCATAAACACAAAATTTAATCAACCTAAGGGCTACACTGCAAAGTGTAGTGGTCAAGTTATCAAAACAAAATACTGTGTGTGTATGTGTTCACATAGACGTGCAACAGCACTACTCTTCTGAGAAGGTCCAGAACACTGTTGTCATAGTTGAACTGGTTCTTCTAATGATGCACTTTCTCATCTGGAGAAAGTCCAAATAAAGATTATTAACAATTTATAGATAAATTTTATCAGTTACCAGTAAGGTGTTTTTACCAGAAAAACAAGGGGAAACTACTCTCCTACCAGTTGGCTGCACACATGTGAGCGCGATATTAATTGAATAAAGATGGCTGACAGTCAATCTTAATGCGCTAAACTCTTCCACACTTTCCTGAAGAGACTTTGAAAATAAGGTTAATTTAATAATCATTTTTCTTGCAAATAAGGTTAAAAAAAAAGATCTGATGAACCGCTTATGGCTCTTTAATTTCAATAAGACTGTCTTTTTTCTTAACTTGGAAGAAAATTAAAGTCCTTGCAGAAAAAGAACATAAGACAATATATCAACAAGTTAATTTAGACAACAAGGAGCGTCTCACAGTACTAAATACTGGCAATACCAACTGACTCCATTGATGGTCTATAGTTTATGAGCATCTAACTCTGGAAATAACATTAAATTTCCCTCCTAGTTAAGCACTTTGAAAAATTGATTCCAGTTGTATTTCACTAGGAACTATTTTATAAATTCTTGGCTAACTTTTTTCACCCTTAGTATAAATGAAATAATATAATGCTTCCTGTTTTTTTATTTATTGGTAGACATGTTTCCCATTTAAGTCTTCAGACAAGTAAGTTATTTAACCAAAATGGGATTATTTAGGTGGCGTAACATGCTAATGCTATGCACATACTAGAGCCTATGGATGTTACAGTATTTCTCACAACAACAAAAAAATTGCAAGACCTTCACATGTACTGCTTCCATAATTGAAGGCTATGAAAATACCGCTACAGGAAGACAGCCTTCGATTGTTAAAAGCAAAATTCATCATCTGTCTCCCTGTTGGTAAGAAAAAGCCAAAAAAAAAGAGTACCCACTATAGTGTCCAGAGAACTTGGCCAGTTGTGTATTCAAAAGAAAATGAACAAGAATAAAATGAATGAAATAAGAAAGAACAGCTGAAAGGGAAAGAAAAAAAAAAAAGAGGAAACAGAGAGTGAAAAAAAAAAAAAAAAAGTAAGCAAAAAAATCAGGAAATAGAAAAGTAAGAAGAGTATGATTCAGACTCACTTATTTCCATTCCTTTGAGTATAAAAGAGACCAATTTTTTAGGGAAAATTGTGCAAGTTGTGGTTAATAGCAATGAGATATTATAGGCGATTAATTACTAACAAAATCATGTTTAAAAAACAACTGAAAACAAACAATCTTATAGATATGACAATCACATGTAACTTTTTTTCCTAAGAGGTCAATTACTGGTTAATCTAAAAAAAATTTTTATGCAATTGTGTGTTATTTTTTGATAAAAAAGATTGTTAAGCACATTTTTTTTAATTAAAAAAACTACTTTATTGTGGTTACAACCCTCTCTCGACTCTTTAACTTCAAAACACGAACTTTGACAAAATAGGCCGCTGTGCAGATAAACAAGTTAAAGGGACTACCAAGTCCCGAGACATGTTGTGTTCATATTAAAGATATTTGTTTTTGATTAAAACTAATTAATAAATGTATACCAAGAAAAACAAATCTTGTTGTTTTAGTCGAAGCCCGTCTTCTCTGTTTTCTGTGGTATTTTGAGTATGTAAAATAAACGTGATTTTCCAGGCGCATTATACAGACTTGATAATTTATTCAAGTGCGTTTAATTCATAGGAGTTTTAGAGCATGATGTAATTGGAAACATTCTAGAAATTCTTTAAAAATTTTACTATTAAATTTTACTTAAATGGCTAACTATAGTTACTTATATTATTAAAAGTTTATTTTACTAATTGTTCGTTAGTTTTTTACAAATCTAACAAACAATTAATTAAACCAAGCACTAAGAAAAGATATAAAAATTAAGAATATACTAATAAAATATATAATTTGTAATTAACTTTCAAAATTTTGACAATTTAAAAAATATATATTATGAAACATTTATTTTTGTAAACAAATGATAATAGTTTAAAGGTTTTACAGCTTTATAGATGTGGCTCCGAGAATGAGCCATAATATTAAAGTTATATTTCATTTGATAATATATTCTTAAAAAAATTTATGCTACATATCTCAAAACGCAACAAATCGTAAATAATACAATTTTAAAACATTTCAACAGAATACTCTAGAACTTTATTTCGCTTAGTCAGCGAATTTTTTTAACCAATAGAATTAGTTTGTTCGCAAATTTGGCGGGTTAATAAAAATAAAAATTAATATATATTAATTTTTCAATTTTTAAGCCCCCGCCATAATATATATTGGATGTTATAATGGAAATATAAATAATGAAAGATCTATAATGGATGTTATATATGGATGTTATATATCTATACATCTATATATCTATATATATATTATATGTTATATATCTATATATATATATATATATATTACATGTTATATATCTATCTATCTATCTATCTATCTATCTATCTATATATATATATATATATATATATATATATATATATATATATATATATATATATATATATATATATATATATATATATATCTATATATATATATCTATATCTATATCTATATCTATATCTATATCTATATATATATATATATATATATATATATATATATATATATATATATATATATATATATATGCATATATATATATATATATATATATATATATATATATATATATCTATATCTATATCTATATCTATATCTATATATATATATATCTATATATATATATATATATATATATATATATATATATATATATATATATATATATATATATATATATATATATATATAATATATATATATATATATATATATATATATAGATATATATAGATATAGATATAGATATAGATATAGATATATATATATATATATATATATATATATATATATATATATATATATATATATATATATATATATATATATATATATATATATATATATATATATATATATATATATATATATATATATATATATATATATATATATATATATATATATAGATATAGATATATATATATATATATAGATATAGATATATATATATATATATATATATATATATATATATATGTATATATATATATATATATATATATATATATATATATATATTTATATATATCTATATGGATGTTATATATCTATATATGATCTATATATGAATGTTATAATGGAAATATAAATAATGAAAGATCACCTCAATACCAAAAAATAGATTTTTGAAAATCAGAGAAAAAATGCGTTAATAATTTTTTTTTTAATATTTACAAAGTAAATTAATAAAAATGCATTATTATTTAGGTTAAAAATTATTTTATCTAATGTTTTGAAAGAAAAACTTATAACAAAAGAAATCAAAATACATGTGGTCTAGACGATTATTTAAAAAAAGTTGCACAAATAAAATACAACTTTGTATTTTATTTTATTTTTGTTTTTAATTTTATTTTGTTTTTAATTTTGTTTTACACAAACACATTTTAGAACTTAAAAATATAATAAAAATGAATATGATTTGGAAATTGTATGTAAAAAATAACAATCGGTGTTTTAAACAAAAAAAAAAAAAAAACTATGATGCACTAAAATTCCTATGAATTAAACGCGCTTGAATAAATTATTAAGTCTGTATAATGCGCCTGCAAAATCGCGTTTATTTTACATACTCAAAATACCACAGAAAACGGAGAAGACGAGCTTTGACTAAAACAACAAGATTTATTTTTCTGGGTATACATTTATTAATTAGTTTTAATCATAACAAATTTGCTCAGACATTTTTTTTTAACATTCTCTTTAACATGAACACAACATGTCTCGGGACTTGGTAGTCCCTTTAAGCATGGTACTACCAGGGACATAGTGTGGATTGAATGTGGAACTTCTTGCTTATAAAGTGTACACTCTACCACTAAACCACTACCGCATTTAAGATTAGGAATTTTCAGTTTAAAGAATTAAAGAAAAATGATGTTTAAACTTTTCATCATATTTAATAAAAAAAAAATTTAATAAAAAAACTTAAATCAAATGTGATCTGAAAAAATTTAAACTTTATTTTAAATTAATATTAACTGTTTTTTTTTTTTTTTTTTTGCTTGCCAACTGCAAATACATTACCTAAAAAAGGTAATGTATTTGCAGTTGGCAAGCAAAAAAAAAAAAGAAAAACAGTTAATATTAATTTAAAATAAAGTTTAAATTTTTTCAGATCACATTTGATTTAAGTTTTTTTAATAAAAATTTTTTTCATGATGATAAATTATGCTAAAGCATAATTTATCATCATAGATTAAAATGCCCAAAAACAACTAAAAAACCTCATTCTTTGTTTTATGTAAGGAGAAGAGCTTCTTCTCTATTAAGACCTCTCATTCATTAGAAAAGAGTATAATTTTAAATTGATTGATTATGATTAATTGTTAATAACATTATAATTGTTTAAAAAATTTGTTGATAGTTTTTCTTTTTTTGTTTTTGTTTAAAAGTGTAAAATAGCATAATTATATGTAAACAAATGAAACTTCAAATTGTAAAAGTAAGTTTTTTTTAAAGAAGAACTCCTTAAAAAACACAATTTGTTAACACAAAAACACAATTCATACTTCAAACAACAAAATGTGTTGTTTCTCTTGGAACGCTGTATCAAAAACTCTCCTATTGTTTAATAAAATTTTATATCAGCAAATAAGATGGCAGAAGCTGATGATGATTCTTTCAAACTTTGACAAAAGAGCTTGACAGTTTGTGATATTTAGATCCTAGTGGTATCTAAGAATAGCTCTCAGCAGAATCTTTCATTGGTTTAGATTGAAATATAGTAACCATCTGTTCACATGAAGATAGAAAAGATAGATAGTTTAAAGAAATGCCAGGTTACAGATTTTTACCTAAAATAGTACCCTTGTTACTGATTTTTTTCAGATAAAAAGTAATGCATTTTTAGTGTAAGTTATCTTTGGTCTCCTTATAGTTTGGTATATGGAGGAAACAACTGTTTTTAAAGTAAATGTATAACAAATTAATAATTTTTGTATATACCTGTAAAGTTTGCAGAAAATACTCTTTTCATGAGCTCAGTAACATTATCTGGATTTGCACCTTGTTCTAAAGTCTTGTTGTAAGCTAAAGCGTATAAGTAGATAGCATCATAAAGATATGCTGCTTTATTGTCAACCTATCATAAATCAAATTTAATCATTGCTATCTAATTCACTAAAAGCAATTTCATAAAATAAAATACAAACATAAAATAGATGACACTGAACCTTTAAATACCACAAACACTCTTTCCTAATAACTAAAATAAATAGATGGGTCTATGTAACATTTGAACGAATGTAACATTTGTGTTTGAATTATTATTATAAATGAAAAGTTTTTAAGTAAAAATAATTATAACATGATCAAAATAAATAATTAAGTGAAACCTTAATAAAACTATATAAGTAATTAAAAGTAGCAATAAATGAACAAAAATTTCCAAATAATTTTAAAATGTAGACATAAAAAAAATCTTTAAAAAATCATAAAAACATTCGACAAAACTTGGATTATACTAACTATTAATTATTGGATTATACTAATTATTCTAAAGAAGTTTTTTCACAACTAATATTTGCAAAACATTGCACTAACTTTCTGCTTACAAAAAAATAAGGAAATTAAAAACTAGTTACAACAACTTTAAACTTCCTGTAAAATATTTTTATTTGAATTTTTTGAGGTTCAGACATTTATCCTGATAATTCTACAAAAGAAGAAACTGGCTGTAGAAATGAAAAAGTTGATAGAAAAAACTTATAAATTTATTGTAAAAATTAATAAATATATTGTAAATGTTTTCTTTTGTCTTCACTTAAGGTAAGGTTGTGTATGTTGAGCATGTTAACAGTGTATTGTTTTTTTGCAGCCCAAATATTATAATATTTAAATTTATTTTTGCAGATTATCATTCATTTAGAAAAAAATCTTTACACCAAAAATTGCATTATTTTCAACACACCTATACACTCATTTTAGGAAACCAGTTTCCTAAGATGAGCTTTTTTTAATGGAACTCAAAAAAACTCAAAATAACGAAAAAATAATTAAATTAAATTTTATTTTCAAGGACTATACTTAGGTAAAAAGTTATTAAATCAACCATTAAAAAAAAACAATAATAAATAACAAATGTATCATCTTAAGCAACTTCACCAAGTACTATCATAATTTAAATAGTATGATAACAGCTTATGTATCTCATATAACCCATGGAATTAGCAGTAGATAAGCATAAAATATTGAGGATGTAATAAATATTTGATGGTCTTGTTTCGTTCTGACGTAATTACAAAATATTGAATAATAAAAAATTATAATGGAGATGGTAAATTTTTTTAACAGTAAAACAATCAAAGAATATTAACTATACAACCAAGAAATTAAAATAAACAACACTGTCGAACTTGTATGAATATCTTTAACCAAAAAAATTCGCAAAAAAATCATTAGTCTACCCGTAAAAGAGGTTATAACATCTTAGAAACCTGCTCATCTTATGCAACTTTCCCCTAAATAAAATGTATAAATATGTTTTAAAATTTATAAATGTATTTATGTTTAATTTATGCATGTATTTATGCATAGTTTTATTTATATATGTGTATTTTAAAAATAATGTATTTAACTTATGTGTTTATTAATTTATGTGTATTTAACTTAAATAAATTTTTACAAATAGATATTTTGTATTTTTATAATTTGGAATATTATAAGTTATAACTTTGTAAAATCAAAACAAAACTTATTCAATTTTATTTTTAATAACAATTCAAGCCAATACAAAATATATACAAAATTTATTATTATTAAATATATTCAAAAGTTTTCCATACTTTTTATTAATCTAGATAGAACTATATTATTTGTTAGTTAAGATATTGATGTAAACTTAAACATGTTTCAGGTAATTTTTTAAATTTGTGTTAAAATGTGATTACTAAAATCACAAAGCAACAACCATTATGATTAAATGTTTAATCATTGTTTCTTTACTTATAATAGTTTGATGGCTAATTTTTTTTTTTTTTCTCAAATAACTTTTACTTTTCAAACAGATTTCTTTGACAAAACTACTGCTGAGATCAATCACTTCATGCAATTTTTTTGCACAAAGGTGTGTTTGTGTTTTCTTAGAAGAATAAATAGGGTATGGTGCTATTCTTTAAATATCATTAGCTGTTAAAAAAGGCCTTTTTCCAATGAAGAAACTAGAATAATAAAGATTTAGACATTTAAACCAAGAAAAATACACAAGCTAGGAAATTAAAAAAGAAATATTAAAGAAATAATTTAAAAAAAAAAATCCGTGTGAGAAAAATTAAAAAACTATTTAAGTTATTTGATACAACTTCAAACAGAACAGTGAATAATGTAAAAGACATCTATTGACACTAAGAAAGTAAAATCAGATGTTAATTTTAGAATTTTATTAAAACAGATAGGAATGGTCTTGGATAAGTATAAGCTGCTGTTATTATCATGATAGCTGAGCTGCACAGATAAAATAATTGCATAAATTTTCTATAATTCACAATATACAGCAAAAATAAACTACAATAAAGTAAACAAAAATTTTGAAATTTTAAATGCAAAGTAATACGGAAAAATTAAAAATTTAAATTTAAGTTAGAATACAGCTTTTAGATATATACTCAATTAAGCTCATGGTTATTTAAAAAGGTTTTAATTATTACAGTTCAATAATGTAAACAAATGTAAAAGTTTCAAAAATTCTTATTACATGAACCCTTAATTAAATTACAAAACTGACCTTTTCAGCTGGTTGAAGATTACTAAAAAAAGGATATTGATTTGTTGCGTTACGGACTTGGTTAATAAAAACTTCATATTTTTCTCCATGATCTGAAGGTTGCTCAGGGCTAATGTCAAGAAAACCAGATAAAACAGTAGTTTTATTGAATTCTAACAAATCTGCTTCATCCACCTCACTAGATTCAGCTGAAAAATCCATTGTAATAAACATGTATTCCCCATTAAACATATCAAGTTTCCGTGCTTCAGCAAGCATTCTAACAGCTTCACTTTTGTAACCAAATATTGCAAAAACTAAATGATATTAAAACACTAAAATATAAAAATTAAAAATCAATTATATTCTGAAATAATGTTGAAACATTTTAAGGACTTTTACAAAGTGTACAAAAAATAATGAATATAGTAAAATAAAAGCAATTAATAACAGTAATACTAATGATAGTAATAAGCAATAATAATGGTAACAAATATGATTATAGAAATTAAAAATATTTAATAAATTTTTTAAATAAAAAGTGGAAAAACTGGTTTTTCCATTTTTTGCTAAAAAATTAGAATTAAGAGCTTTTAGTTTATAAGAAGGGTTGTTCCAAGTGTTCATGCTTTGAATCCTATAGATTTATGTCCAAAATTAGTAGAGAAGTGTTTTGAGACAGACAGGTTCAAACTACAACTAGATTGAAATTAAAAATAAGTGTTTGCAAAGAAGTTGATAAAAGTTTAAAGTAGATTTTTGTGTTGGTGGTTCCAGACTAATTGACAATTTGAGTGTTAAATGTAATCACACAGTTTTAATATTTTAGTAGTTAAATAGAGCCTATTAGGGTTGAAACTATGATATATATATATATATATATATATATATATATATATATATATATATATATATATATATATATATATATATATTTATATATAAAATTAAGTTATAAAAAAGGAAACGATTTAAAAAGTTGTAGGTTATATGAGATTAGAAAACATAAAGACGAGTGAGAGTTTTGAGATTTTGTTGATACGCAAGGAAATAAAAGAAATGTTTTATAGATTGGAGGGACAGATACAAAAAAAATATATATTTTATAGCATGGAGGGACAGATACGATAAAATCATGCAACTTTGCTGAATAACAAGCAAAGTAAGAATGGGTTTTGATCAATCAAACTAGAGGTGAAAGCTCGTTTGAGAAGCAACCATAATTATATTTGTAGAAAAAAGAAAAAGATGCAAACTTACAATGATGGGATAGTGGCTCAAGCTTTGTAGATAAAGCAGGTCCAACTACATTTACAATAAGCTTTTGGACCTTGTCCGAAAATGAGAGGGTTGTTATTCCTCAATGTAGAAGTGTCAACAATAGTGATACTTGTTTGCAGTAAATAACTGAGTTTTATTGAAGTTAAAATCTGCAAGCTACTGCAAAAACTGTTAGAGAAGAGAGATCAGATTAAAGATCAAATGTTTGTTCTAAGCGATTCAAAACTAAAGATTTTTTATCAAGAAAAAAGTATAAAATTGAGTTATCAGCAAACAGATGTAAGATTGTCAGGAGGATTGTTATTGAAGATAAAAAAATGGTTCAGGAGTAAGAATAGATCCTTGCAGTACTCCTAAATTTACTAGAAATGAAGAAGAGTGTTGACCTTCAAGAATGACTTTAATACAGCAGTTAAAAGGAACCTAATTATAGGACAGTTGGAGAGGTCAGAATGTTTTTAAGACTATGATGGAAACTTTTTTAAGACTATGATGGAAATGTTGTTTAACCCACAAGCCATAGAAAATTTAAAATTGAGAATTTACTTTAATATGGGATGGGGTTGGGGGAGGGTCAAAATAAAAGCATAAATACTTTGTGGACAATTCCCATCAGAAGCTGAAATGATTTGGACAACTCAAAATGGATTATCTGTTTAACTGTACCATTACATTCAAAAGTCGAATCAGAGGAAAATTATTTTGCAAATAACTCTGCCTTATTTTGGAGAGAAGATTAGACCCATTAACTAGAGAAGTAATGTTAGACTTACTTTAGTTAATGACACTCTTAACAATTTTTCAAGTTTCTATAACCTAATATTTGAATTAAAATACAAGATTTAATAAACAGACTTTGCATCAGACATAACTCTTCTACATTAACTTTTTCTGATAATAAAAAGATATTTGTTCTCAATAGAGATGTTTTTGTAAAAAAGACAATTACAGTTTAATTTAGCAACTGCACAAAAAAGTGAAAAACGTGGAGTAGAATGAGGCTTGATTTAAACCCAAAAAGAAGGATAAAAACTTCTATACCTGCTTGGATCCAAGAAGTTAGATTAGAGGTTTGGAAGAGAAGATTAAAGTGATTTGGTTATCAGCGAATGCAATTCAGGAGAAAATATAGAGGTAGAAGTAAGAAAACTTGGATAGAGTACATTACAGAAAGAAAATGCTTAAGATTTTTTGTATTAGAGTAACAGCATAAAAGAGGAAGGCTAAAGCTTGATAATGATCATGTTGAACATGATGATGTTTATATATATATATATATATATATATATATATATATATATATATATATATATATATATATATATATATATATATATATATATATATATATATATATATATACAGAAGGCATAAAAACTCTTATTTATAAACATCTTCACTCAATAGAAAAATATATATACATATATATACATATATATATATATATATACATATATATATATATATATATATATATATATATATATATATATATATATATATATATATATATATATATATATATATATATATATATATATATATACATAGGGGTTAAAATAGAACGGTGTTAAAAAGTGCCAGTTGTTTATTCAAAGGGATGCTGAATAGCTCATTTGGGGATGGAATTCGAGTACAAAATTAAAACTTTTTTCTAAAACTGTTTGTTTGTCAAAAGCTTAAATCATATGTTTATATTAGGGGCAAAACTTATAAAATGATCTAATTTGCGGTGTTCAAAAAAAAACACAAACAAGAAATACTTATGTCTACGAAACTATTTTAGGCAATTTATAATTTTATCAACTTGTTGCTCTCATGTTTGAGGGAAAAGCGTCTCAAGTTTTAGGGCTTTTTTTTGTTCCCAGGCTTAAATTATCACAATTTTGTGAAAACATCTTTATTTGGCATAAGTATAAACATATAAATGTTTGGAGTTTTCTCCATGTCTGGAAGTTAGTATCAAACACAAAAAAATGTTAATTTTCTTAATAAAAATCTTAATGATTTGTTTTATTTTATTACAAATGCTTTTAGATTATTCATAAATTACACCTATTTAAATTTAATTGTAAGCAAAAATAAAGAGTTTTTCTTCAAAGAGTCCAAAATTTTAGCAAAAATTAAAATAGCTGTTGAACTTCATTAAAAATCAATCATAGTGAAATTGATATACTACTGCAATAAGATAAATTAGGTGTTGCATAATCCTGGACAATCCTACTTAAAAAAAAACAACAACTCAAAAACAAGATAGTGGAACAGTTGCAAAGAAATAATGAAAGAAGCTAAATGATTTGTCAGCTAAGGAGGAACAGTGTTCCCCCTACTTTAACCCCTGTATATATATATATATATATATATATATATATATATATATATATATATATATATATATATATATATATATATATATATATATATATATATATATTATATATATATATATATATATATATATATATATATATATATATATATATATATATATATATATATATATATATATATATATATATATATTTAAAATGTATCAATTTTAAATATTCACAGTCACAAACATAGCCCCGGTCTCAGCTATTTTTTATCAAAATAACAATGTAAACAAAACCAATATTTTTCTAAAATATCATTTTTATTTTGTCCTTTAGATGAATGCTCAATTTTTAAAATATTTTTTAGTGTCATATGACTTGTTACATTTGTTTAAAGTAATAAAATATCTTTTGGCATTACCAATATATCATCAACAATTATTAGATATGATTGAAAAGTAACGATTATACTTTCCAATCAAATCTAATGTCATTACCTACTTCTAAATTAAAGTCAATATCTGGTTTAGATGCAGTATTAAAAAGAATAAAATCAGCCACTATTTCTTTTATTGCTTTAGCATCATTCTGGAGATTAAGCTTTGCAGAATAATCACATATTGGATTTAATTTTTTATACACACTGTCTACAAGTGCTTTTTTATAAGAAAAATGTTCAGAAGAATCATCTATGCTAAAGTCAATATTTTTAAATTCCACCCCTAAAGGTGAGTTTCCACTCATCCGTTTTTTCGCGGGAACGGGAAAAGAAAGGGAAAAACAATCACGTGGACATGCGTATTATAAGTTTTAATTTGTCTGAAGTATAACTCCGCATGGTCACGTGATTATTTTTCCCGTTTCCGCCTTTATAGGGTTTCAAAATATGCATCCCGTTCCTGTAAAATAACGGATGAGTGGAACTCACCTTATCAAAAGAAATTGCCGTATGGCAAATTCACTCCAAACATGCACTTAAATAAACTGCATCTTAATCGTGTCCTATTAAAACAACATCGTGAGGTTGTTTTATTTAAATAGCTTTTGTGCTCTTTTCGTGGAATTTCAATAGCGTACCGTTTGTGTTATGAAAAAAATTTTTTTTTCAAAAACGTAAGGCATTTTGGGATTGATATTCAGACAGTGGGATTGATATTCAGACATTGATATTCAAACAGTTTGACGTCACCATTTTTTGTGAAAGAAAAAATTTGTTTAAAATACTATCGTTTTATTGTCGGTGGGAATGGGGTATAATTTTTTTTTAAGGGGCAACTACCCTCACATTTTTTTAAAAATTTGATTTTTTTTTTTTTTAATAATTTTAGACCAAAATTTTATGCAGATTTTGAATCTGCAAAAAAAATCAAACATTTTTTTATAAATTTTTGTTTAATTTATGTTTTTTTGAACTCAAGTAAAAAATATTTGCATAGCAACGCGTTGCTATGGGGGCGAATATTTTGTTTGTGAACATATCCTGGAGTACTGTTTCAAATATATACTTTGATTTATATCTTCTTTGCTAATTAATATTCTGTTCCTTATTATATGCCATTTACAATTGCTACTTTAATACGATTTTATCAAGTTATCAAAGCTAATTTATATAACAGCAGAAATTAAAAAATATGACAAAACCTACTGATTTGGGTGTTATTTTGAACAAAAATATTAATGATAGAGTAAAGCAGAGAACAAATTACTATAAAAAAAGAAGAGGATTTATGGTGAAGAAAAATAAAAATGCATGTAATGTAAGTGAATGTGACTCTATTGAAAGAAATATTTTTGGCGCATCAGCTAAAAAAGTAAAAGTTGTTACAAATGTACCAAGTAAAAACATTAAAAGAATTACTGGTTACAGAATTATAGACACTGAAATTTTATCTAAAGTTCTTTCATTGCTAATGTGTCCTCAATGTGAAAAGTGTGCACTGTACTTAGGTGATCATCAGAAAAAAAAGAAAGGTCTAGCAGCGTTGCTATATTTAAAGTGTACTACACTATCTTGTGACTATAAACATGAATTTTATACATCAGTTGCTTGTGATAAAGGGTTTGATATTAACAACAGGACAATATATGCAATGAGAGTCTTAGGCCATGGTCATTCTGGCATTGAAAAGTTTACTCAGCTCATGAAAATGCCAAAACCCATGACACCCAAAAACTATTCAAAAATTACAACTAAAATAAAAAACATCGTGAAAAGTGTTGCAAACGAAACAATGTCAGATGCTGCAACTGAAATGAAAGAAAATGCAACTAGTGAGGACATTGTTGATGTTGGTGTATCATGCGATGGATCATGGCAGAAAAGAGGATATCAGTCAATGAATGGAGTTTTTACCGCAATTTTTATAGATAGTGGAAAAATAATTGATGTTGAACCTATGAATAAATCATGTAAAGCTTGCTGTATGAAAGAACAATTAAAAAAATCAAATCCTGATGCATATGCTAATTGGAAAAACAAACATATTTGCCTGTACAATTATCAAGGTACAGCTGGTGGTATGGAATCAGTTGACGCAGTGAGAGTTCCATCGAAAAACATAAGTTAAGATATACTCAATTTCTTGGTGATGGGGATAGTAAATCCCATCTTTCTATCAAAGATATATACCCAAATATGGAGGTAAAAAAGTTGGAGTGTGTAGGACATTACCAAAAACGAGTTGGTACTCGCTTACGCAAGTTAAAAAAAAATGTTAAGGGTCTAGGTGGTCGTGGTCGACTAACCAATGCAGTTATTGATCGCTTGCAAAATTTTTTTGGTGTAGCTATCCGGAGCAATACAAATGATCTGAATAAAATGAAACAAGCAGTATTAGCTAGCCTTTTCCATGTAGCTTCTTCTAAGGAAAATAACTATCATATTTACTGCCCGACTGGAGGTGATAGTTGGTGTAAGTTTAACATTGATAAAGCAAAGTCTACTTCCATATACAAACCTGGACCAGGAATTCCTGCGGATATTATTCACAAAATCAAGCCAATATATGCTGATTTAAGTAAAGATTCTGAATTAGTGAAGTGTCTTCATGGCAAAACCCAGAATTGCAACGAGAGTTTTAATAATTTAATATGGGATAGATTACCAAAAAGTAATTATGTTGGTTTAGCCAGTTTAGAGTTTGGAGTGTACGGTGCTGTTGCAAATTATAACATCGGTATGAAGTCTGTCATTTTAATTTATGAAAAACTAAATATGAAACCAGGGCATTTTACTTTAGCTGGTTGCAGACTCATAAACAAAAAACGAATAAAACTATCATTATTTAAATCGAGTGAAAGTTTTAAGATGAAACGAAAGATGTTACGACGTCAACGATTATCAAATGATCATCAAAAGTCAATAGTAAAGTCCAAGGAATATTATGAATCTGGTAGTTTTTAAAATATTCTTTTAAAAAGTTATTTTTTTAAAGATATTTTTATGAAATGAACAATAATTTATGGTTTTATTTTTTGTTTTGTGTTTTCTGAGAATTTAATTTTTAAACACGCCGGGAAAAAAATCTTGAAAAGTATACATGCTATCATGATGAAATTTTCAGGGATCGTTCATTTTACCAATGTTTATGATATGAGCGGAGTAGAATTTCTCATATGACTTAAGATTTTGAGTTTTTTAGTTTTTTTCTTTGTATTTTGACCTTTTTTTTAATAATCTAATTTGACTGTAGCTTTTTATCAAAAAAAAATTTTTAATTAAAAATCTGCTTCGCTCATATCACAAATTTACATATTTAGAACAGTTCTACAAAATTTCATTGACACTCCTTTACTCATAATTCTTATTTTTTTTACGGCGTAAACACAGTTTTTGTGGGTTTTTTAGCTATTTTTTTGAGTTGCCATAGCAACGAGCTACCATTTTATGTATTTTTTGGTATTTTTAATGTCAGTATAATATATACTATATGACTAAAGAAAAAGTTACTTTATATGTGTTGTTTTGAAATTTGAGGGTAGTTGCCCCTTAATCCAAATAATTACGTTTTTAAGCAATAATGTCAATGCTTATAAAAACCAGCTCTTTTTATAACGCAATATAACGCTAAAATAATTTACTTTAAGGATCTCACGCTTAGTTTACCTAACGGCAAGAAGTCGAAGAATATTAGCTTTCGTGTGGAGAGTTTTTTTAGAGTATTATAGCGCCTTATGTTCAATAAAAATCTCCGCGGAAGGGAGCCAATAAACCTCTACTTCTGGTTAGTATTTATATTCTGAATAACGTCTTTTATGGACAACTCCTAAGATACATGCCGTTAAAAAACGGTATTATAATGTAATCGAAATTAAATAAGCAGCAACTTCAAGAGCATTTTCACATTTATTAACTGTGCTGTTTTTAACTAATCCAATTTTTAAATTCACCTCTAAATGTCTATTTAAAGGTGAATAGGGAAATATGAAACAAAATTTGCATTTTTTAAAATTGGGGGTAATGGAATAGTCAGATAATTTGGAACATGCGATTTGAACAATTGAAAAAGTAATTTGAATTCGTAAAACATACTCCCTCCGTTCTATATACTCTTCCGATTTGCATTCAACGTAACCATTGGCCGTAAATTACGAAACGCTAAATTTCACTAATAATAATAAAAAAAATCAAAGCTTTTCCAACACAGAGCCTTAAGTAAAGTAAAAAATCAAAGAGCACATTAAGTTTAATGTCGCCGCGTAAAAGAGCTTAAGATCTCCTCCTCTGTTTTTTATATAAAATTAGCGTTACGTAATTTATGGACGATCCCTTATTGAAAATAAGTTTTTTTAATTTTTTTACTATAAAATATATTTTATATATTTTTTATTATATAAAATGATATATATATATATTTGATAAAAAAAATAAAAAAAATTAACAAACATAATTTATTTTCAATAACTCTTTACGTTGAATGCAAATCGAAACAGCATTTCGGAACGGAGGTATTTACCTAAAAAAACTTTTTTTTTGATTGGTTTCTGCTATCTATTTGCAAAAATAACAAATATAATCTTCTTTCTCGGAATGGAAATATTCATGACTTCTAGCACTGAAACCAGCTCTAATATAACATTAAAATTGTCTATATTATTATGCAGAGGTTCTTTCGGTGGTTCGTTCCTCCTGTCTAAGGGTGGAATGCAAGAAGCAAACTTGAGTCAAGTTTGACTTGAGCTTTAATTTGTAACCAATAGCGGCAGAGTATTTTTTGAGGGGAAAACCCATTCTCTGTCGCTATTGGTTGCAATGTAAAGTTCAAGTCGAGCTTGACTCAAGTTCGTTTCTTGCATTCCACCCTAATAGTTCATCGCTTCGGTTTTGTGTAAAATATTTTAACCGGGGTTTACTTAGTAAACAAACTCGACTGCTTGCTTTATTTACATTATAAACATAAAAGCTCATGCTATTATAAAATTTACTTTAAAGCAATATGTATAAAAACTAGCTTTTAAGTAAATAATTGCAACATTATTTTTTCTTTAAATATACTAAATCAAATAAATATTTTTAACTTACTGCGTGCATTTCGTTTAACCTTCTCAAGCACCTCTTTAAAGCCGGTTTTATTATCGTCATTAAAGTGTTGAAATTCTACAGTATTTCCTTTTTCTGTCAGTTTTTCGTAAACAACTTGTTTTAATGAAACCCAAGCAGCTTTCTGAGACACGATCAATGTAATTCTTTTCCAACGAAATTCGGCCATTAATAACGCAAATTTTTCATAGAATGTTATAGGTGATGACCGAGCCTCCATTACAGTGCGAGCAAACGTTGGATATAGTTTTTTTTCAGAAAGATCCTGTGAAGTGCAACTGTAAGATATCATGGGTTTTTTGAAATATGCTGCTAATAATCCACTAGGCGTACATCCATCGGAACAATAAGGACCTATATAAACGTCAACCCCTTTTTTTCCATTAAATTCTTCTGTCTGGAAATCCGCAGTTTTTCCGACACTTTGGATAGCGTTGCACATGCAATCTTTCCATGCTATGAACAACTTATAGTTTTTAAGAACGTTTGTATTATTATTAATATCATTGATGGCAACAGTAGCAGCCCCAGCAAACTTGTTACCAACAGCCCATGAACCAGTCCAAGGCAAAAATAAACCAATAGTTAAATTTTTACAAACAATAAACTTTATACATAAAACAATGAGTAGCAAATGTAGCGCATGGTTTTCACTGGTTTTAAAAAATTTCATTTTGTATAACACAAAACTCTTTCTTACATAAATAGAGAGACGTAGAATACCTTTGTTCTTTTTTTTTTTTCTTTTCAAAAATTTACTTGATTGAGATCTTTACTTAAGTTCACTTAAATTTCAAATAAAAAGTTGATTAAACAAATTTGAAGATTAGCTTTTGATTTGCATTTTCCTTCTATAGAAGCTCGTTAAATAAATACAATATACTAGAAAAAATAAGTGCTGAAATACACGGTAGTTACTGTAAAACGCATTGTGCTTCATCTAACATCTGCCAAAACATTGTCTGAAACCTTTTTTATTTATTTATTTAACTTTTCTGAGAAGAAATTACAGTTTAAGATTATATATATATATATATATATATATATATATATATATATATATATATATATATATATATATATATATATATATATATATATATAAACATACATACATACATACATACATACATACATACATACATACATTTATACATACATACATGCATCCATACATACACACACACATACATCCATGCATGCATACATACATACATACATACATACACAAATACACACAAATATATATATATATATATATATATATATATATATATATATATATATATATATATATATATATATTATATATATATATATATACACAAACATACATAACTATAATTAAAACTCTTAATTAAAAAAAAAATCTAAAAGGTAAGGTAAAATTAGAACTAAACGTAAAATAAAGTATTCGAGAAGGTAAAGGGTTTTTTCAAATGAATTGAAAATTGAGAAAAGCTTACGTCTTTAAAAAGCGCAACAAACCTTGTTGTGAGTTCGCTATTCAACATATTGGATTTCAGTTGTTCTTCAACTTCTTTTTTATAGAAAAAATCGGAAAAGCTTTCTCAATCTCCAAATTATTTATAACAAATAAATCTATTCACAATGTTTTTTTTATGGCTCCGTTAGGAAATGGTTTAAAATCTTTAACAAATGTTTCTAAAACGCCGCGTGCATTGACTGCTCTTTGTTAAATTTAATAATTAGCCTATAATAGTAATATTATTAGTTTAAGAAATATCTTTTGTACTAAATTTATGTTAATTTATTATTTATGTTTATATTGTTTTACTTCTTTACTTATCATAAACAAATCTTCGCGCATGTTTGTAAACAACTTCTGCTGAGAGTTTTTTGGTCCTACACTCATGCTTTAAAAAAGTTGAACGCATTTGTCTTTTTTAATCTTTTTGATTAAAATCTGTTAAAACGTCGTCAAGATGATTTTTAAAAAATGAACTTGAAATAAAAAAGAAGCAATGATTATTGTTGTCGGTTAACAAGGAGTTTTTAACATATTTCGCAATTAAATACTCTTAGTGCACCGACTTCTAACAATATCTGAACACAAAGAGTGAATACAAGTATTTTTTTATATATATATTTACAAGTTCATCAATATTACCAAAAAAAGTTTACATTTTTCTATACTAACACAAAAAATTATGACCAGAAAAATAAATCAATTCTCTATTCTATTTTACTTCAATAGCCTATAAGTAGATAATTATAAACCTAATTACTGCAGACTAATTAAGAGTATTGAAGCCAAATTATTGCAGACTAATTAAAAACTATATATTAAAAAAATAGACTATTTAAAAAACATCAAAAACTATTTAAGCAGATTAATGTGCTTAATTAATTTTTGACAACCCATTGTTAAATAAAAAAAACAAAACAAGTTTATTACTTTCCAGGTGGCTTATAAAGATTAATCAAGATCCGGGTAAACCTATTCAAGTTAAAATGGTGCGTCACAACGAGCGATAACTCACCAAGAGTAGCATAAAGATACTCAAAAGACTAACACTCTATAACTTGCTACAAAAGTATAACTTGCTACAAAAGTATAACTTGCTAACAGTCTGTAACTTGCTAACAGCAAGTCAAAAGTATATGCATTAAAAAGTTTCTTCGCCTCAGTAATTTTAATAAATGATAAAATTTTATTTAAAAAAATATCAGTTAAAAATAAAGATTTGCGTTACATTCAACAACAACGCCAAGAAAAATAAACAATTCAGCATCAATATCAGCAGCGACAACAACAAACAATAAAACAGCATCAACATTGGCGAAGACGACAACTAACAATAACACAATTAAAAAGAAAAAGAAAAAAAGGTTGTTACTAAATACATCAAAATGATTTTGAGAAAGTGTTTTAAACACAGTATATAATATATTGTATATTATTATATAATTTAATATGTTAATTATTAATTCAATTATATTAAATTTAACACTTTCAATAACGCTTTTAACGTGAAAGTTTTTTTATTTCGAAAAACTTTTCTTTTTTTTTCATTTTGTTTCAAAACATTGAATAAAGATGATTTAATGAAAAGATTAAAAAAATTAATTAAAATATAATTGTTAAAATATTTCTAAAGCAACTTAAATCGTCCACTCGTAACAAATTCTCAAAAATATATCAGAATTCGATAACTGGCGAGCACGGTTTTATATGCCTAATAATATTTATATAATATATAATATTTAAAACTATATTTAAAATATTATTTAAAATAAACGATTCTTTTGATTAAATTTTTTTCTTGTGATCTCAGAAATTGGAAGTTGGATGATTTGCTGGCGGAAAGGCGGAAGAAACCTTTTCAAATCCTATCTGCTAAAATTAAAAGCAAATAATTAAAAACTTAATGTTTGTAATTTACTTTATTTAATAACTAAAATGTCTGAAAAACTGTTTTATTATATATATTTATGTAATAATTATTGGCTAATAATTACTACATAACTATTTATTTATTAATATATAATATATTTATTTAATAAATATTTGTACAATAATAGATTGTTTTTGTGTCTAGTCTTTGACCCTAGCTTACGTTTAGTCAAAAAAATTTAAATTTAAATTCACCAACTGGTTTTCAATTTTATTTAATAGCTTTTTAACGTTCAAAAGTTATGACCGTGTAAAATTTCCGCCCTCTCCAAAATAAGATTTGATTTGAAAAATGAAGATTTCACACGGTCATAACTTTTAAACACTAAAAGATTATGAAACACTAAAACACTTTATATATATAAATGTATATACATATATATGTATATGTATATATATATATATATATATATATATATATATATATATATATATATATATATATATATATATATATATATATATATATATATATATATATATATATATATATATATATATATATATATATATACAAAAAAAAAAATTCATGTTCTTATTAAATTAAAATTATAATATAAATATATATATATATATATATATATATATATATATATATATATATATATATATATATATATATACAAAAAAAAAATCATGTTCTTATTAAATTAAAATTATAATATATATATATATATATATATATATATATATATATATATATATATATATATATATATATATATATATATATATATATATATATATATTACAATTTTAATTTAATAAGAACATGAATTTTTTTTTTTGTGAATGTTTATTATTAATCTTTATTTTCCGTTTTGACAAATTGCAAATTGATCGATGACGTCTTTGGTTGTCATTAAAATTTTGTAATAAATACTCTCATTAATGCTAAACCATTATGACCCTTAAATATGCTTTCAAACAAAACAAATAATAAAAATGAACTTTGCCCTGTTGCAATCGATTTTTGATGGCATTTTAAAAATGCAGAGAAAATTTGATATATATATATATATATATATATATATATATATATATATATATATATATATATATATATATATATATATATTAAATATTCTATTAAACACCGGTCACCATTCAAAAAAGTCAAAACGGACCGTTTTAACTAGCCTAAAGTTTGTTTTTTCAGGTTATTTATTTGTTTGTTACCTAGTTGAAAACTATTTGCGTGTTTGTGTTGGCACAGCTGAATTACATGGTACAGAATAAGAAAAAAAAAATGTTTATTAATTTCAAAGTTATTTTGTAAACTTTTAATGAGGAGTATTTATTGTGCAACAAGTATTAGGTTGTTGATCAACAAAATGAGTTTATAAAAATTTCAATGCGCAACCAAAAAGCAGATAAAAAAATGGGATTTTTAATGACTGATATCTTATAATTTTTAATTTGATTATTTTTTCAAATACAAAATAATATTTATTTTTAAAAATTTCTAAATTTGTTTTATAGCAAATTTGTGCTAATTGGGATACTAGATTTTGATTTATGTTTTATTAAATATTCCACACATTTGGTCTTGACGTAAAAGCAATTGCTTTAAAAAAAATTAAACGTACACCACACATAAATAGTTAAAAATGTTTTCGTTTTTAAAGTTTTTAATTGTTTAGTGTTAATAAATAAAAGTGTTAATAAATAATAATAATAAATAATAAAATAAAACCATTTATTTTATAGAAAAAATTTTTTTATTTGATTAAAAGTTTGATTTGAAAACTAAGAAAAAGTTTTGATATTGATAAATCTAGTTTTTTTGAGTGATGAGAGCTATTAAAATATTTTTAAGAGTGTTAAACGTTTTACTGTTGAACATACTGTTTCACGAACCTTTAAAAGCATTTAAAGTTGTCTAAAAAAATTTGATAACTATCCAAACTTTTAATTTAAAATTATTCATTCTGAATAATATGGAACCACTAATGGAGCCAGTAGCGGATTAAAACTTTTTGGGACCACAAGCTATTTTAAAGCAGGAGGCCACTTTCCATGTCATTAATCAAAGATTTTATTTTGAGAAATTCTTTTTTTAAAATACTTCATTTTGAATCTATCTCCGAAAACTGCAACGCCCGGGGCTATAGCCCTTCCTTTAATCTAGTACTGAATGAGACCACCTAAAGCTATTGAAATATTCAGGAGACTGATTTCACTTCACAAGGTTATTTAAAACTACTGTCTAAAATGTCAGTATCTAAACTTCAATCTAAAATTCAAAACTAGCAATATCTATGATACTACTCCCATATAGTAAAGCATATAGAATAGGAAGACAAGTCATGATGAGAAACATCTTATTATTGTTCAATGACTGAGAGTTTTTTCTAAACTGTCAGTCATGGAACAATAATATTGTGTTAATTATTCAACGATTTAGTAGCTGCATTAGTTTTTAATTTGCAAACAGAAACAATTGTAATATAATTAAAAAGTAATTATGAATTTATCATCTAGTCACGTGATCTATGCGCTTTCTGTCACTAACTTTATAACAAACCGTCCTAAAAATTTATCTCTAAAAAAGTTCCACTTGTTGAGTACTACCCAATAGTAATAACTCTAACTAACATTTTTTTTCAAAGCGGAAAAAAAAACTTATGCTTATAATATCACGTTAACAATATTTAATAAAATTAAATTGGTATTTTAAAGTGCAAGCTATAAATTTTTTTTGAGCGTTGTAGACTAAAAATTCTGTCTTGCATCAATCAATCATCAAAATCTTGCATCATTCGTCACCTTTTATGGAAAAGAGAATACTTAATGTATACAAACTAAATCTGTTTATATATCTTAAGGCGAGTTTCCACTCATCTGGAAAGGAAAAAATAATCGCGTGAGCAAGCGTAATAAAAGTTTCGTCCGAAAACTGCGTATTCGTCCGAAAACTGCGTATGCTCACGTAATTATTTTTCCGTTCCCTTTCTTGTAGAAAAACGGAAGTGGAAACTTACCTTTATGTTTCAATTTTACGTGCAAAGTAATTTAACCTTGTAAGTTTTTAGAGGACTTGTATTTTAAAACCCATTAACTAATACACCTTAAAAAATTAGTTTTATAAAAGAACCGTTTTGTAAAAGAAAACTTATTCAAACTTATATCGCGCACTGTTTTTTTGGATCCAGAGAAACAAGTAATTTAATTTGCCGATTACTTTTCTTGTCAAAAATAAATTAAAAAACTTTATTCCCTAAATTAATTTTTTAATGCTTTAGATAGAGCTAAATGTAAATAAAAGAAAAGCCCTCACTCACTGATTCACTGACTCACTCATCACTAATTCTCCAACTTGCTGGGTAGCTAGAAAACTGAAATTTTTACCAGGGGTAGCTTATTTTGTGCTTAGACAAAGTAAAAATTTAAATTTGAAAATTCGGCCTAGGGGCGGAAATATTAGGGGCAGTAGTTTTTTATAAGGAGCCCGTATACGAGAATATATATATGAAAGTTTGTATATATATGCACATAATTAATTTTTGTGGCTGTCGGTACAAATCTATGGATTGCCTTGATACCAAATTAGTTAGTGAGCATCTGGGTGCTTTGCTTCTTATGCCTCTTCCCATGGGAGTCACAAAAATTGATTTCTGCACGGGTGGACGGATTTCAGTGAAATTTTGTATGCATGTTACTATTATGTCCAAATGGCATGCAAGCTATTTAAAACGGTCAAATTTAAATTGTGGCCGTTCCCATAGGAGTTAATTTTTGTTTTCTGCATGGGCAGGTGGATTTCAATAAAATTTTGTGAGGGCTTTTCCTTTTATATTATAAACTAGCTGTATCACGTGCGCAGCACGGGTATACAGCTAGTTTACAATAAACACATTACATTTTTAGATATGTTGATTGTTATTACTTTACTATATATATATACATATATATATATATATATATATATATATATATATATATATATATATATATATATATATATATGTATATATATATATATATATATATATATATATATATATATATATATATATATATATATATATATATATATATATATATATATATATATATATATATATATATATATATATATATATATATATATATTTATGTATGTATATAAAATTTATATATAAAATATATATATATACACATATATATATATATACATATATATATATATATATATATATATATATATATATATATATATATATATATATATATATATATATATATATATATATATATATATATATATATATATATATATAAATCAGTTTCTGGTAATAAGTTATGACTTTCCTATCAGTTTGTTTTTATTTTAATTTGTTTTTTGCTTGAATATATGTCTAATTATTTACATGTTGTAAACGCTTTTTAATATGTATTAACACGAACAAAAAAAAAATGTAAAAATAAAAAACAAAAAGTTATTCAAAATATTATAAAAATTTTTTCATAAATATTATTGATACATGACTTTGCAACGAGATGAACGATATATTTATGCCTTATGACACAGACCCGTACAGTTTAAATTTTTAGGGAGGTTGTTTTTGAAAAAAAAAGCAGTTTAGAACAGCAAATAAAACTTTTGCTTAACTTTTATAATAAACTTGTGTGAAACAAAGAGAATGGTATAAATTAGTAGTATTGTCAAAAAATAAATTATATTTGAAACAGAATCATACAAAAAAAAGAAAAATGAAAAATTTCAACAGATTTTAGACATATTCATCGATAAGTTTTAAATTTCATAGTAAATTATTTTAGCGTTCAAAAATTGACTGTATAAAATTTAAACCCCCTCAATATGAGGGGGTTGCAAATTTTATATTGTCATTTTTGAACGCTGAAAGATGATACTATGAAACCTAAAATTTATCGATGAATATAAGTCTAGTTGAAAATAGTACAAAAAAATTTTCATCAACTTGTTGCTCTCACGTTTA